GATTCTCTCTCCCGACCCCCACCCCCGCCTTCCCTCTGAGACCCTCAGTCTGTTCCCTGCTTCCATGTCTCTGGATCTGTTTTGTCTGTTGGTTTATTTTGTTCAATAGATTCCACGTACGAGCGAGATCATGGGACACTTGTCTTTCTCTGACTGGCTCACTTTGCTCAGCATAATCCTCTCCTTTTCACTTTGCGAAAGAAACATCCTGCCTCCGGCACGAGAGCCCTGCGCGGGAGAGAACGCGTGTGCGCCTGTGGACTGGGGCTTGGTTTCATGGGTTTCTAACTCGAGATGTTATAAAATCTCCAGGAAGCACGAGTGGGAAAAACACGGGACCTGCGTAGCCCAGCTGGACGCCCTCAACTCCCAGAGGAAGTACTTCGGCGAGGGGCTGGACCTGTACAGGGGGCTGGCCCTCAACAGGTAGGCACCCCCGGCCTGGCCGCTCCTTGTGTGTTGTAGCCTCCCCGACTCTCAGATGTGATGTTCCTTCTCTGGGATGCGCCCAGAGCCGCTGTGCCCGGCAGCCGCCTCTCCAGTGCCATGGACCCCGGTGGACAGCAGTGTGATCGTTCTGAGAAACGCTCGTGCCTCCTCCAGGCCTTCCCATGTCGCGCTGGGTCACGGCCACGCAGCATGGACACAGGGTCGTGGCCGCCTCTCTGGATGTCGTTGGACAGTGTGTCAGCCAGAGGAGAAGGAGTCCAGCCAGGGCGTGCCTTGTCCAGCTGTGATTTCTGACAAAAGCATATTGAGCTCACAAGACAGTTTCTCTAAAGACGGACCAGCAGTGATCTTTGGTTCTTTGCTGGGATGCTCCTGGACGAGCAGGGGGTGGTGACGGGCAAGGTCCTGGGAGCCCCAGGAAGTACCAGGCCCTTGGGTACCCAAGAGCGAGGAGCCCTCCCCGGGGCAGCGTGCCTAGGGCCGGGCCCAACCTGCCCTTCAGGCCTTAAAATTAAGGAAAACCTTAAAATCCCCCGTACTTCCTTCTGTATTGTAGACCATTGCCTTTTGCTTAGAGGCAAGCCTTTCAAATCACCGTAAGTTAGTGCTTTCTTTTCTTCACTCTGTAAAGGCAGCAAACCTGAAAAAATGCAGAATATCTTGAACTGACAAGATGGGCCAGGGATTAATGACAAAGCAACTGGAGCTCTGTGGAAAACAGTGGGCACCAGTTTGGGCTGATGCGTCTCCTGGATGTTTCTCTGCCTTGTTTCCTGGTGACCGGGGTCAGGAGGGCCCTGCCCCACCCAGTGCAGCCCGAGGGAGTGGGTGCAGCCCGAGGGAGTGGGTGTGACCTGCAGGGGTAATTTTTCATTTTCTATCAGCCTCACGAAAAAGAGCAGAAAGAACAGGTTAACTTTATATTTTGTTTAATCCAACATATTTCAAGTATTATCACTGCAACTTAAATGTATAAATTCGGGAAATTTTGCATTTTGGGGCACAAAGTCTCTGAAATCTGGCATCTGTCCCACACGGACAGCGCAAGGTGGCCGTGGGCACATTGGTTTCTGGGGCGTCCAGGACTTTCCCCTCCCCCTGCCCCTCCCGCCTGCTGCACCCACCTCACAGTCGAGGCCTGGCCCAGGGACCACAGTGCAGCTGGGAGAAGCTGTCTTGTCCACAGCACCTTTGTCAGAGACCAGGGCTGAAGAGGAACCGTGCTGAGGCCGACTCCCCTCCCGCGTCCGCCCCGCGTGGTCCTAACCCAGATGACCCAGAGAAGCTTGATGGGGCCAAGGATTTTTTTTGG